AAGTTTAAGGAAACACCAAAGAAACAAACAGTACTTAGAAACAGGCATGGGCTGGGGAAGTATTTCATTCAGTCAGTTGGAGTGCCAGGTGCCTTGGCAGATGCCAGGCACACATCATGAACAGTGTCTAGTCCCCTTGCTGGGATAGGCCATTATTACAATGGAAGAGACTATTAAATGCTACAACAATCCCAGCTGCTGGTGTTCTAAATGTCAAGCCAACAAACACTCTGTTTAACCTGTGGTAAAGAAATAAGTATAAACACTGAATCAAGTCAACAGAGAAGAAATATCACTCAGTAGCTGTGTGTGTGTATGTGTATGTATGTATGTGTGTGTGTATGTTTATGTACATATATGTCCCTGAGCATATTATGGGAGACTGAATCCAGGACCTTGCACATGTTAAGAATGCCTACTATTGAACTACACTCCAAGACCCATGCTATGCCTTTTCATAACCTACCAGAATGTGCACATGAATATTCAGAGGTGTATTGTTTGTAATAGTTCCAAATGTAAACAACCAGATGTCCAACAGCTGATAAGTGGGTAAATGAAGTATGGCATATTCATAAATGGAATATTATTCAACACCAAGTAGAATGAAGTACTTATTATGCTATGACATGGATGAACCCTGAAATTATGCTAAATGGAAGGAGCCAAGTATAATAGGCAAATCTTTAGATACAGAAAGAAAACTAGTGGTTGCCAGTGGCTGTGGGGAAAAGGGAAAATCTAAAGTGGTTATTACCTGATAACAGGGCTTTGTTTTGGGTAGGGAGTATGCTGCCACTAGGCAGTGTGATGACTGCATAGTCTTGAGCAGACACTTCAAAAGCCACTCACAGTGTACGTCACAATGCTGACTTTTAGATCATACAACATTGTATTCTCTTTAGATTAGATCTTGAGTTTTTAAAACCCCTAATGACCGCTTACTCCTCATATAGCAACAAGTAAAGGCACTGCCTGCCAGTGAGTAGCAAGCCTCACTCTGAAATGTGCCCTCCTCCATGGTCAGACAGATCCTTCCTGTTGTCCCTCCCTCCCTAATACACAGTCAAGTCGAAACCAAAAATATGCTAGCTTTGGGTAATGTTTAGAAGCTCTTTGTTTCTATTTTCAATATAATGACAGTCTAGGTGAGGCTACTATTATGCAGACAATATAGCTCTCAGAGTCAGAGCCTTCAATGCCACAGAATGCTAGTCTCTTAGGACTTCTATGATGACTTACTTTGCTGAGCAGGTTACGCAAAGAAGCTTCACATTCCTCCTGACTGCTTTCCACTGTCTCCTGTGCTATCTCATACTCAGAGAAGGCCTGGCTGCAGAGCACACCATCATAGGAATAGCATTGCATGCAGTATGTTGTACATAGTTAACCACACAAAGTATACGGATGCTTGATGAATAAAACCATTCTAGTCTCAGAAAGCAGAGAGTTATGATGTGTCCATGATCTTTGCAGAAAATAACAGAGCCATAGGTCTCCAATATCACACCTGAAGCAGGGCACTGCACATTTGTAGGATAGAATACGCAGGGAATAAACTTTACTCACTGAGTAAACAGTGTATCTTTTCCAGAAAAACTACAAAGTCTTAGTTGGGATACAGTGCTCAGGAGCCGTGCACAGACCCAGTGCTGCAACATGCAGACGGGCCATATGCTAGAATGGACACTTTGCTTTGTTTTGAAAAGCACTCTCATTAACCTCCATCACTGAAACTGAGCAAACAAGCAGAAACAAAATGTTGATAGTCATTCTGACATGTTCAAGGCAAAGGGGGCCTGTTCCATTCCTGAAGCTGAACATGGATAATTATGCCATCAATGCCTGGGCATTTTTAGCACTCTAGGTGATATGCTGGGATGTGTATAAAATAAACAAAGACACTGATTCTTAGATTTTATCTAGAGAAACAAGTCAGGCATGGACACTGAACTGTACACTTTGGTGGACTTTTCAAATGATAATTCCTTCCACTGTCACCATTAAATCTTAATCCATTCCAGCTCCTTGCATGGGTCATTGAGTCTATATGTACTGCTGTTATTTTAAAATGTTTCCCCTTGGTAGGGAAAGAGGGGGAGAAAAGATGTTGAGAGCCAGATGGGCCTCTTCACAGTTCATTTATCAAACCTAATACGCTGGGCTCCACCCTCCTCTCTCTCACTATTGCAGTTAAACTTCCATATAATTTGGTAATCATTTTCATTATCAGACAGTGACCCAAAGCAGCCGATCCTGGGATACTCAGTTCTTGCAGCTGCTCTTTTTCTGCCTGCTCCTACAGTAGGCCCTAAGAGCTTCGGATTTTATTAGCTGCAGACTGACCTCTGGGCTGCAGAGGTCAAGAAGGGGTCAGATCAGAGGGCTTGCCCAGTTCTTTAAAAGCTATAACAAGCTGTCCATCAGGCAGAGTGGACTGTATAAACAAAGGCAAATCTTCAGAAATTCGGTACCACTTCTGTTAACACTTACCCAGCATTCACATGGTGCTCCTGATGTACTTTGGATCATTCAACTCCAGGGAAGTGAATAGACAGCCCTAATAAGCCTATCTGGAGAGCACTGTTTATAGGATTATCAAGTTTGGGGAAGGGAACCCAACAGAGCTCAGATATGCCTCTAGAATCACAGGCTTGTGTGACACTGTGACAAACTCAGTTACCCCAAGTCACTGCAGAATTGACACTTTCCTCAAGAAGCTAAATCACAGAGAACATATGCTTTTGGTTTCAGGCATGTGGAGGCCCAGACAATGGCTCCACTCCTGGCCTGAGAGGGGGGACACATATTTTATGACCAAGTTACAAGTTCCACTTGAAATGTTCTCTGGAGACCACGAAGGCAGATGAGCCTGCTGAAGAAAGGGCTTATGATAGCAGCCTGGCACTGAAGCTATGGCAGCTGGGGTCGGGCTGACCTAAGGTTCTTGAAGTCGCACAGCTCAATGAGTGTCACAAGTCCATTAGAGTCATCTGGACGCAACTTTCTAAAGGAAAAAATTTCTATTATCTAATCTAACTGGTTCCTTACTAGCTTTGATGAAGGTGAAATGCTGTCATCTATTGCTTGGTCTCTGATGAATGCTAATTATTTTCTGTTAAAGCACAATGGTTTTATTTTGTTGTTATTGTTTTCTTCATGTAATTCCAAAGCATACAATAAGCCCATCTTTAAAATGCAGGAAACAAGGAAGAAAGGCATCTTCTGGGGTGTTTTTATAACTTTTACCACCACCCGCAGGATGGCCATGCAAGGCCTGGCCTGTGCCAGACGCCGGGCTGTGCTTTGATGAGCAAAGAGAGGGATATGGTGACCGTCTGTTTATCCGGCTCATGTGGATGAGGCTTTGAGATAGGGTACCGAGATGGGAAACATCAAATGCGGGCACAGGCGGGTGGGGAGGATACGGTTATTTAATACTCTGAGGACACTTTGCCTTGGGAGCTCTCAGGACACGGACCTCTTGAAATTTTCTTTCAGGTGTTTGGTTTTAAGAGGGTCTGCACAGTGTCAGCTGCTAAGCCCCTTCTTCCCTCTGCCTCTGCCACAAAGGACTTGCGAATTTTTGTTTCAGATGCTAGACTACATCAACTTCAACACTGGCTCCAGCTCCTGATTAAACTGTTAGCAGTAAAGGCTCAGAAATGCTGAAGCCAGACTCCTTTTAAACAGGCTATCTCGACCATGTTGTCTAATGAGTTGATGTCATAGGAAATCACCAGTGACAAACTATATGCATCCAACAAAAGACAGCCATTCCTGGGGAGCAGAGAAGAGTGTGGAAGAGAGAATATATATAGGGAGATAGAATGTGTCACAATGCTGCTACTCTATTATTTAATAAAATATAATACAAATATAATAATTACAAATATAATAATAATAATAATAATAATAATAATAATAATAATAATACAAAAAGGGCAAAATTTATTGAAAGTTAAAATGGTAAATCACCTCTTTGTCACTGCCATTGAAAACTCATTTACTGTGACTGCACTGTGAGGAAGGGGCAATACTGAAAATTATGATACTCCCCTTAAACACAAGCCTGAATTAGACAGAGATCATGCAGCCCCTGAGAAAGCAGCTTTCTGATACCCAGTGAGAAGCAACAGCTCATGCTGCCTTTCTTGGAAAATGCTCCTCGTGTCTTTCCCTTTCAAACACATCTATTTTTAAGATTATAATTACTAGTAAAGCTATCAATTACTATAAATTCTGCCCCATGAAGTTTTAGAGAATATCACGGCCATTAATAAAATTGTTCTTTGACTCCCAGGCACACAGAATTTCTAGGCATCAAATAGAACTGTGAAAAAAAACCCACATTGTCATCTCCTTATTCCTCTCCTTCTTGTGTGGAAATGGTTCAATATTTTTACCACTATGCATAAAGAGAATCTCAACATTTGAAGGAGCCAGCTCCGACCTCTCAGACATCAACTGTTTTCAGCAAGATAACACCAGACTTCCCCTGTGAGCACATTTCTTCAGAACTGATGACTTACACAAACCTTCCACCAGTGACAGCTTCCCAATCACAGGTAGCTCCACACACAAAGAAACTAGGCTGAAGCAAAAGGAATCTCTACCCAGCCAATTCTGAAAACGAGATCGTTAATACACTGCTTCTAGTCTGTCGCTTGCAGGACAGAGTGAACTTGGTGGACCTCCCAGGCATCTGTCTAACCGATCGTCTTCAGACTGCTGATCAGAAAGGGTGCTTGGGCATCAGGTACTTAAGCTACATTATGCTCAAGATGCAAACCTGCAGGCTAAATGCTACACTCGAAGAGAATTCATACACACATACGGACAACGTCGGGCATCATTATAATTGATGAGGTCACCATGGGCAGGAAAGCTAACTTCAGCTCAGAATGTCTTCAATGTACTCATTCCCTATGGCCCCACAAATGAGAGGGACAAGTTGAGCCAGGTCAGGGACACAAACCCCATCTCCCGGCAGCACAAACCTGGTGTGCCATTCTTTCCTCAGGTTCTGGCGCACGGTGAGCGGGGCCAGGATGGCAGCCAGAATTTCATTCCTTTGTTCCACAGGGAGTTCCTCTCTTTTAACTTCACGAAGCACAGCATTTGTCTAGAAGAAATGATTCCCAAAAGAGAAAGAAAAAGTGAAAAATTAATAATAAAAAAAAGCCCATAAGCAAATAAGGACAGTAAATCAATGGCTTTTTTATTACAGTTCCCTTGCTAACAAATCAATACGGTAAATGATGGTCAAAAATGGCCAGCATATATTCTGGGTTTAATCAATGTACATGGCACATAGGGCAAACTGCAAAGCACCATTGCCTAAAGAAACGTGTCCAGACGCTATGCATTCTCACTCTCATTTTCTCAGCACACCCAACGATTTTTTTTTCCCAGGGAATTGCCTACCATGAGCTATTATTAGAAATGATTTTCATGGACTAGTCACTGTGAGTTGTTTGTTTTGCCTTAAAAACAACATCAAAGAAAACACAGGCTCTGACTTCCCTGTCTCCTGCCACCCCGTGGAGGTTTTCTACATGGCTTTTCTCTTGAATTGCTACTTTCAATTTCTACCCGTGTCAGAGGTTGGGGGTGTTGTCACTCATTTCCCTGGCTTATTGCAAATCAAGATCTGGCAAAGATCTAAATAAGGGCATATTAGTCAGAAAGAGCAGTACATCTCAATAAACATCGTTAAAATTTGTGACTACTACTAGTATTTATTGACTATTAAATATCTTTTGTTTTGTTTCCAGCTTTGTGTACTTGTGTGTTTGTGTGTGGGCATGTGCAAGATCCCTTGCTGCAGGAGTTAGAGGTGGTTGTGAACTGCCTGGCATGGGTAGTGAGAACCATCTACCCCTCTACAAGAGCAGTATCCACTCTAACTGCTGAGCCATTCTCCAGTCCTACATTTATGTATTTACTTTTGGGGTATATGTATCTATGCATGCACACGGGTGTTATGAGAGTTGTATCTCTCGTATCATGTGGGCCCCAGAGCCTGACTCCAGCCATCAGACTTGACAGCAAGCACCTTTACCTGCTGAGCTGTCTTGCCAGCCTATGAATATTATTTTAGTTTCAAGTCAGTATGAAATTTGTGGGGATTCTATAGCACTCTTTTGTAAACACTAGTGTACCCCAATATAAACACATATCAACTAGAATTCAAGTCACAAATAACTAGATAGTTCTAAAACCATGATGAAAATGAAGCTCGTTTTCCTTTGAATTTATAAATATAGTTTTTCTTTTTTTTTTTTTTTTAATAGACGGCTGAAGGAAAGGTTAGCAGGACCAAAGTATCCTGTGTCTGATGCTGATGCAGCCGCTGACTTCCAGGGTGAACTCACAGTTTGCTTCTCACAGAATTTGAAATCCACCTGAGCTCCACTTGAGCATTCTACAGCATGTACTTACTACCAGCATGAGGAGGGACACAGCAGGGTTTATTGTTTCTGTTGCCAACACCAACCAGCTCCTTTGTCCAGCAACAGCACCTAGATGCCCTTAGGCAAAGTCCTTTGTCTCACTGCTCATGGCCCTAGAGGACTGTCACATTCCTGTAGGGATATGAGCCACAATACTCTGCCTCTTTTCTCGGATATAAGACTCTTGAGAGGATGATGAAAGAGAGTCCTCAGAGGCAACCCATCTAAGGACTCTAAGGGGTCCCAGCTGGGATGCGAACCCTGACTTGGGCCTCTAGGATGTAGATAGACATGCCTAGGACATGATGTCAGGGGACACTCAATCAGCTTCCACAGAAGTCATGTGTCAGTCCTCCAGCCCAGAGAGGAAGCTTACTTTCTCTAAATAGTTTCAGTTTGCAACCCATGATTCAGCAATGGCATGTTCCACTTAGAGCAGATAGATGATAAGAATGAGTCAGGTAGAGGTTACCTGACGAGAGCATGTGCTTTGTCAAATGGCTACAACCTGGCTCCTGTGAAGTCTGCTGTCCAGAGATACTGGCTTAAGAGGGCCAAATCAGGAATATTCAAAACAAAGAAACAAATCCATTGGCAGGGGAATATTAAATGTGAACATTTCTGGTTTTGTTCATGTTGGAAATTCATTACCTTTTTAAAAGTATTATGTAGGCAAAATAAGAAATATGGTGGGCTAACCAGAATTCAGGCAGCTGCTAGCCTGTGGCTTTTAATCAAAAAGAAGACTTATTTCAGAATGTCTTACTTGCATAGCTCTGTCCCTTGTCTGGAATACATCACACAGTGAAAGCCTAAAGGTCATCCAGTGTACTACCATGCCTGTGTGTATGTGTTACTTCACCAAAGCAAAGGACAATGGACACATCCAATAGGCTCTAAATGTGGTGAACATAACTTGTAAAGTGTCTTTAGTGTGCCCTCACTTCTACCATCATTTCAATTGTATCTGGTGACTTTTGCTTTCCATATACAGTGAGGAGTAATCTATGAGGGGGAAGAGAAGGAATGTACAAGACAGTGTTACAGAAGCAGAGGATGCTGTCCCGTCTGCCACCATTTCCCATTAGCCACTGTTTCCCATTAACCACCTAACAACTTACTATTTGTCAAAATGATAAATGAAAAAGAAACACGAAAAATAAGTACTGTAAACAAAAAGAACAACAGATGACTCTTAAGAAATTACTGTTACATACACGATAGGCTCATAGAAATGGTAAACTGTGGGAGCACTTTATGCTGCATGAGGGGCTCGTCACTGCCAAGAATTAACTTTATGATCTTCTAAGATAACCAGAACCCCAGGTTTTAGTTCCCTTGGATTCAGGCATTCTCTCATGCCCTTACAAGTTATACAACTTCCAACATTTTTCTCTTTAAATTGGCCCATATAAAAAAAAACAAAAAAAAAAAAAACCAGAAAATATCCACACTTCAGAGAAAAATGGAGAAACCAGTGGTACTCTTCATAAATGAGATGAAAATCATAAAGACAGTAAAAGCAAGATGTCGGCCTGCCTCCCTCTACGTGGGTCACTGCTTGCCAGGGCTCCCAAATGGCAGTACGCTCCTGCTGCATCATAAAGGAAGGTATCAGAAATATCAGAGAATGCAAAAGCCATGTCACACTGCAATAAGACAGAAGATCTCAACAGTGTTGGATAACAAAAGCTCCATCACACTGCAATGAGGACTGCTGATACATCACATAGGCTGAAAAGAGGCCAAGGGAATCTCCTTCTCCCAGAACTCCAGGAGTACTAGCTAACTTTATCCTGGGAATTCCTGTGGGCCTCATGCCACACTCAAGAGGGAAGGCCAGATGGCAATGGCATAACTATAGAGCATTTCCTAAGTTTAGAGGTAAGTCACTGAACAAAAGGAAATTTCAGAGTGTCAAATGAACATTCCTCTTACATGATAGTTAACTGATATTTCTCCTTATACTAATGCGAGCTCCTCAAGCTTGACTTACCTGGGGAATGTCAGTAGGTATTTTCCATTAGTACTAACACAGAACAGTCATGTACATTCCATTTTATAAAAACAATCTCCTACTAGCCAAAGCACACTACCTCTCCCCTCACCCAAAAACACAGAAAGCAAGGCACAGGGTTAAGACCATGCCTCGAGAGTTGGACTCCTTTTCAATAAAGTTTGAGAGGATAATGGTCAAATAAGAATGAACCAAGCGTATTCTTAAGAGGCCCCTCTCTGTCTGCATATAGACACATCGACTGGCTGTCCACTACACCCGTCATTCTGATCATTAGTGTTCAGTTCCATCTCATGCTCAGCTCATCTACCACATACATACAAAGTTGTGCTAGTTCAACAACAGGATGCCAGAAAGAGTCAACTACTTGAAATTTAAAAACTTTTGTAAAGCTATCTTTGTCCAGAGCCCTCCAGTGTGCCACGAACACAAGCACATCCCTTTGTACATTCCAAGTACAAAGGCCCTCCTGGAGTAGCTTTCACATTTGCAACTGGCCCTGACCTCCTTCCATTAGATTGGAGAGACTGCTCTCTCCTAGGCTCCTTCTCAACCCTTGGCACATCCCTTCTTGTGTCCTAGGTGAATCTTCTTCCTGAGAGCATTAACTGTTGCCATCCTGAGGTCATAACCTTCATTCTCTTCTCTCTTTTGCCTGCTCTCTCTGTAGAAAGTTTTAAGGGGTCCCTGTAGACTCACTACATCTACATATCTACCCCCTGCACTGGCTTCTGCCTCCTGCAGCCAACAATTGACTATCTCTTATTAAGCATGACACCTCAAACACGGTATCACATCTGCTCACATCAGAACCTCCTTTCCTTCCCATCTCTCTTCTCCTCACCAATCCTACCCTAGAACAAGTGGTACCATTATCAACACAATGACACAAACTCCATCCCTGGAATCATCTAGTCTCTCCTGATTCTGGTACACACTCCCTTCACTTCAGCCTTCTCTCTTACACCTGTCTTCCTGCCCCCTCTCAGTTCAGACCTCTTATCTGTACGTGATGGACTCCAAACTGCCATCAATCTTACCCATCTGTGAAATTTTCTTACTTCAAGAGAAAATGTTGGAAGCTTGGGATGTAGTTCCAAGTGACAGAACACTTACCTAGTATTTACAAGTCCCTGAAGAGGGGGAGAGTAAGAGGTGGAGGAGGGCAGGAAGGAGGAGAAGGGGTCATTTTTCATAGTGCAAGTCTGAACAAGTTACTTTCTTTCATACAAGTCAGCTTTACCCAGGTGGTAGTTTGTGAAGTTGTCTACATGAAGTCCTGGTGCTCCATGAAACACAGTAACCTCAGAGACGAGGACCTCAGGTCTCCAAAGCCCAACACAACTAAGGTATTTCTGCTTATGAATGTTTTAGTTCTTAAAATTCAGAAGATTAAAAAAAGCAAATATATTTTTAAAAAGCTCAAATTTCTAACCAATGCAAAACTGAAACCAAAATAAAACAAAGGAAACCTTGATATCTTGGTATGCATCCTGCTGGCATTGCCAATTTTATCTCTTGCCATCTTCTGCTCCACATAAATTGCTAGGAACTCACTGAAAGGCCTACAGGATGCACTCCCGTGGACCCTACTTATCAGACACCTCTCAGACCACACCCCCTTAGCAAAGTCTTGCATGGGCCACAGTCTTG